AAATTGGTAGCGCGCCGCTGCCGATTGCGATGAGCTCTCTGCTCTGCCTGACGGTTCCCACAAGGCATGGTGATGGTTAGGTGTCGTGGTGAGGGCATGCGATTTTTTTCTGAGGCGCAAGAGCAAGATTTGGAGGGGTGAGCACTTCTTGTCAAAAGTCAATGAGAATGCGACGCGTTTCCTTGAAAACACTCACTTGGGTCTAGACTATTGAAATTCTTGGCAATGCGGGCTGAAACACGTGAATGCAAGACCAGGAGGGTGTAGAGGGGATTGAAAGGGACTCAGAAATGTGAAGATCTCAACTTTAGAGCAAGATTTGATGGTGGTAGGAGAGATCGAAGATGGATGCGATTGTCAAGTGAAGAACGCGTCAATCAAGATGAAGAGGTTGCGCATGCGTCACGGTCGGTCACGTGTCGCGGTACGGTACATTCATGATTAGGGCCAGAAACGCGTCGCGCACGTGCAAGGTCTTAAGATACGCGCGAGCCGCTGCACGCGGTCCCACAATCGCTACGGATGGAATGTCCGGATGGACGTGTCAGGTGTGAGCTGTGTTGTCCTACTGGACCTGAATGTCCTTGTGGGCCACATCACCCAAGCGTAAGACAAAATTACGCAAAATGTCCACAGCGATGGCAAGTCATGGAAGATTTGTGTTCCTCTTTGAATGACTTAGATGTGCGAGCTTTGCAAATATCGAAAACATGACTTTCAGTGATGCAGGTCTATCTTGGTGTCTATTGAGGAACATGGATGTCGGTTTCTCTAAGTTTGCATAACTTTATCCTTGTCATTTGCACCCATGCCCAAAACTTGCGTCGCAAGGTCGAAGTAGTTTCGCTGATCTTGCGTCCACTCTCTCCCGCTGCACAAATTGCAAACACGAATGGTCAGATACACGCGCTCTCGCTGCCGATGACAAGCAAGGTCGTACTCACGGATTGCGGTACGAGGAGTTGATCAACTTTGATAGCTGGTCTCGCAGGAGGCGCAGTGCCAAGAGCGTCTTCGAATCGGGTATGAAGAAGCGAATGCGTTGACGATCGATGAAAAGACTACTCGAGGTGAC